TGCAATTTACAGATTATTTACCAATTATTCACGTGACAAAGTCACAGATCTTTTACAAATTTGGATTTATTTTATATATTAGATTCTTTATAAAGCAAGATCAGCATAAAAATTTTCGGTAAGTGGCGCAGCACATGATGTCTTTAGATGATTCGCACCACACCATTTTCTTAACGCTACATTGAAAATTTCTAGCATTTAATTCAAACGGCCTTTTGTCCATTTTGGCTTGCCATATAAAACCCCCCTAAAAATCCTTATTAATGAAAATTTATATGTGATCAACTATTGGGGTGTCTCACATCATATGATTTACAAACATAGTTGATCACATTTCATTAATAAGGATTTTTTAGAGGTTTTGCGGATTTATTATTATTTTTTTGGCGCCACAAAAAAATTTTTATACAAATTGGCAAACTTCGCACAATTACAAAACTTAAAATAACTCTTAAACTATATGTCATATTCAAATAAAAATTTATGTTTTAGATTCACTTTTTGATGCTCTTTAAACTAATCGAGAGCTTTTTACAATTTTACTTGCATAAAATTTTGTAACATATATTCGCAACTTTTACTTTGATTTTCTAGCTTAAAATAAATGCCATTGTTTATATTAAAATAAGAAAAGGGCTCTATTACTTTATTGTCCTATTTCTCTAGTATGTTTTAAACTTAACTCGGAGTCAGTATCTCTATTCTTTAAAGAGTTATAATCATTCAAAGTTTACTATTGAAAAAAAGATCTGTCATATATGAAAATTAATATATGATGTGGGACATCTCATTCTATTATGTTTGTCTCTCTCTCCTGGTCAGGAAGAATCAACAAAATAATTGGTCGTTTTTCCACTTGTTTAAGCTGGTCTTGTAAATGGAAAAAATTTTTAAAATTATTTTATTTTATAAAAATATGTTTTTAAAAACATTATTATATAAGGCTTTTATTTATAATTATTTATACATATGTATAATAAAAATACGTAGAATGTAATAAAAATAATTTTACAAAATTTAACTTTTTTTACTCAGAAATATATAATATATTTATATACGCACAAGTTATTCACCTACTTATTCATTTAATTCAATCCCAAGTTTTTCTAAAACCGTTAACTTTCTTTTATCAACAGATATTTCTAGTTCTTCAACGTTGGAAGAAATAGTAGAATCATCATCATTATTATTATTTAAATCTGCTGCTATATTTTTTCGAGATTTATCATATTCTGTAATTAGATCATTTAGATTTTTTGGGGGTTTATGATGTTGTTCTTGATTTTGTGCTAGGCTCATTTCTTTTGCTAATGCAATTTTTTCTTCATCTGCTATATTATGATATACCAATTCTTGATCTTCATTTAATTCATCATTTTCAAAATTGAATTCTTCGGATATTGTTTGTCGTGATAATAATAGTCGAGATTGTCGAATTAAATTAAGAGTTTTGACACATTTAACAATATCTATATGTAGTGTTTTAGTATTTATTTAGAAATGTATTTGTGTTATTTACATTATTCATTTATAATTAATTATTATTGTTTCATTTAATTATTTAAATAAATAAATGGTTACCTTCAGAATTATCTTCTTTTACAACTGGTTTTCTTTTTGTAGGATCAGTAGATATCGGCAATGGTGGTATTGGTGGTGGTGGTGGTAATAATATTTTTGCATTCATTATAATTTCACTAACATACTTATCACCCCCAACTAATCAAATATATTTTTTTAAAATTTAGATAATCTTATAATAATTATAATATTAATGATCATAATCATAAGTATGATACTTTACACATTGATTCTTCGAGAGCTTTTTCGATTTGTTCCAAAGGAAATTCTGAAGATTCTGAAAAATATTTTTTTAATTTCTCTTGTAAATCTCTTTCAGTTTTCTATCGTAGACAAATATAAAATTAATCGGGGGCTAATTTTTATTTTGGTGGGAAAGGAAGTAAAATACACTCGTAAAATGAATCACATACATTCATTAATTCAATCTGATCTGGAGTTAGACATTCACCTGATCCATTGTAATATAAAAGCTCCAACAGAACCTCCGTAGCCATCTATATAATGGTACAAATAATAATATAGATATTTATCATATATTTTATTATTATAATAATAAGATCATTACCATTATTATAACTATTATCAAGATTAAATGTTACCTGTAAGGTGATTGATCTACATAAATGGTAATATTTACATAACAAAGTAAGAATAGTATGAACCAATTCTGATCGATAGTTACGATGCTGTTTACAAATATCAGAATGATTGTTATTTTGTCCAGATATCTTTATAGAAGGGACAGATGAAGTGGATCCATATTGTGTCACATTATCATCATCAACAAATAACGAGTGAAGAGATTTGTAACTATTAGGTATATGTTGAAATTCATCTTCTGTGTCGGAGGTAATATGTTTTAAATGTAACGATGTTACAGACGAAGTTAATGACAAAGAATCCATTGATTTTCTTCTATCACGTAATGAAAATGGAATGTTGTTGGATGATGATGACGCTGTTGCTTGTAGGTTATAATCATCTAAATTTGACGTCAATGTGTTCTATTTATATCAAAATGTGACAATGAATAAAAAAAAAAAAAATAAATTATTCTTGTTTTTGATTGTCAAAAAACTTTTTAAAAAGGAGAATATATTTATATACCAATAGACGACGAGTTTTTAGTAATTTTTGTGGATAGACATCAGTGGCAATTAATACATCAGGTGCAATTGCATGGTTTCTGCAAGTAATGGCTGTTTATTTTGTATAATATTGTCAATTATTTGTCTATAAAGTGGTGTAAGCGTTTTCATTCCATTAATTTCAGTTCTAAGATCTTTACTGGCATTATCATAATCAAGAGACCATTCATTTGATGCATGGACTAAATGTATACGTTGTACAACTACTCCACCAAATGCAATTCTATGTCCCATTGATTCGTTTTTTTGTACAGATTGTAGGAAGATCTTAATTGGTGCTTTATTTTTAAGTGAGTATAAACTAGAAAATCCTTTATCAGCTTCTGCATACATATCTAAGGCCCAGTAAGGATTAAATGAAAGTCTATTTTGAGAATTGTCTTCCCATGCAATACTTGCAAGCCATGGAAGTGTTCTATTTTGTCTATTACAAAATTGTTTTACGTCATTGAGTGGAAGATTGTGCCGATTACGTAAAATTCTTAGAAAATATATTTTTAATGAATGGATTAATGGATTTGGTATGCTCATAAAATCATTAATTTCTTTAATTAAAACTGCTCCATCAGTTTCCATTAGATCGAAAACTATTGGTTGCTGATAATTGTGTCTTTGAATACATTCATTCCAGAATCCTTCAACAAATACTTTAAGAAAAGCAATTGCAGTTATTTTTTGTAATGCTTCTGTTCCAAGATTAGTTATAGCTTTAGCTGCAAATCCAAAATAATTTGCTAAATCTGATAATTCAAATGTTTCAAATAATGTTTGAATAACATCACAGCATAATGTTGACATCATAGAATCAAGTCCTTGATTTTTAAGACAAGTATTTATTACATTTAATCTTGCTGAATCACGGATAGCCAAACCTGGATTTTCTAAAATAGTCAAAAAAATACTTTCATCTTCATCTTCATCTTCTTGCAAGAATATACGTTGTATTATTGCACTCATAAGTGGAAATGGTCTTTGGCTGAAAATTTTACCATATAATTGCAGTCTAAGTTTAGATTCAAGATCAACAATATCAAGACATCTAAGAATAAATGATCTTCTTGAAATAAGGTTCTTTTCATTTGGTTCCATTTTATAAAGAATATCAAATACTTTATTAATAAACTCAGCCGAAAGCATTTCTTTTTGGCTTGAATTTTTTCCAATTGTAATTATTTCTTTGACATTAGCTAATGGAATGGCTTTTGTTGATATAAAATCATTACAAATACGTAATATTTGAAGTGAAGGCAATGGTTGACCTTTCAAAACTTTTGCTCCAAATGATAAAATTTTTGTAACATCACGTTGCCACTGTTCAAACATATATGAATTGTATGTTAAATTTCGTGATTCACTAATATTCTGTAACATTATTCCTGCAATCTCTCTAACTAGGGAATGTTCAAAAGATTCTGAATTATTACAAGCTGTTATCTTACTAATAACCATTGGACATATTTGAGTTAATTGAAATTCAGCTAAAACAGTATTTGAATTTCTCCACCAATATGCATGTAAGAATACTGGATCTAAAAATTTTTCTTCTCCCATAAGTCTTTGAAGTAAAAATGATAAAACTTTTGGATTTCTGTTACCAGCAGAATCATTAGATGAAACCACTGCAACAAAATCATTAAAGTACAGATCCGCAAATAAATTCAGTGATGGTTTTTTGAATGATGGTATAGAATTTATAACAGTAGTTGAAAATCCTTTTGTATAATCATTAAAGAAATGTTGGTAAAGTTCACCAGTTTGTTCATCAATATTTCCCTCGTTTTCCTTATGCTGATTTATTTCATCTTCAAATAGCCGTTTAAATGAATCAATTCTTTTCATAAAATAAAGTGAAAATGGGAATTCAAGGTCATAATTATTGGCAGGCATAGTATATACATCTGGTTTAGGATCTGGTATATCTTCTGTGTTTACAATTTTTGGATCCATAAAACACTCTATCCAGAATTCAAGTAATTTATGAGATTGTTCTACTTCTTCTATTTTTCGTGGTCTATCAATCAAAAGCAAGGTTCTGGTTGCTGATAACCTTTCAATTGCACATAAAAGCTTTGCAATTGGTTTTCGAATAAAGATACGTAAATATGCTTGTAATGCGCCTGAAAATGAAGAATATGGGTATAAAAGTTTTTTGTCTGATGCAACTTTATTTTGCCAATTTGGTTCAGAACTTGTTTCCAACCATTCTTGTGTTCTGTCTTTTAAACATGTGATCAGATTTTTATTATTTGGAATCTGTGTAATCAGAACCCTAGAATAAACACACATTATTATTTAAAAAATCAATTACTAAAATAAATATATTGCTATTATAATTTTTAAATAAATAAATAAATAAATAAATATATACACACCTAATATGATCCAATGATTTTTGTGAATGTGGATATTTCATGCATGATAAACACCATAACAATTCTTGTTTCAGGATATCTTCAAATGGATACGTAGTATTGATAATATCAGCCATAGATTTTTCCAAAAGGCTGGATAAAGGTTTATCTTGGACTTGTAATGTTTCAATGGTAATTTGCTCCCATCCACACATGAAATTAAATGAAACAAAAGGTGTTTCTTGTTCACGGTGAATATGTAAAATTATGCATGCATGTTTCATTGGAATTTTTTTATTGCTATTGCGTCTTTTAATTAAAAATTCTCCACGTAATTGTTCAATAACAAATTTAGCTAATTTAATACATCCCACATTGACAGTTGTTATATCGCATTGAAGAATTAACATTTGTTTATCAGATTCCTGCCAAAAATGTTTGATTCTATTTTGAAATTGTGTTTCAGATTTAAATGTTGAAAGTTTATCTACTTGACAACTGATCTTATTTGTCAGACAAGCTTCTATATCAGTATTAATGTTTGAAAATGTATTAACAATAACTTGTTTTCCTTCTGCTTCTGGCATATATGGATCATTTTGTTTCAATAATGCATTAAAATAATCAAAAAGACTATTATGATGTTGTATTTTAAAATAACATTCTTTCCATTTAAGTACCTCTTCATGATTTAATAAAGAATTTTCAGATCTAACCATACCATCCGAAGTTGCTATAGCAACAAGACATTCTTTGCATTTTTCAAGTATTTCTTCATTGTCATCATCTGGATATTTTCTTTTTATATTTATAATCAAACTTTGTATGGTTTCATTGGAATCAAAACCAATAAATAAGTCTTGTTGTTTAAATTTATTGTGTGATTGAAATCCTATATTTTTTCCTGAAACTGTAGAAAATTTTTTCACCCAGCTATTCAATTCAGCAACAAGTTCAAATTCCTCATCTGTCAATATATCATTAATTATTAATCTTTGCTTCTCAAATCTATTCAAAAGTGGTGGATCTGCTGTATGTAATTTTTTCTCTTCCAAAACAAAATGGGCAAACGTTCCCAAATTTCCATGGTCTTCGAGATTATTATGCTTTGGTTAAAAGTCTTTCATCAAAAGAAATGACTACTGATAATATTCAAATGGCATTAGCACGTAATTTTGGTGGAACTGGAGAGCATGAAGAATTATGTGAAAAATACTTTGGAGAAGTACTGAATGCATTTGATAATCATCAATTTAGAATTTATAAACCAATACCTGTTTTGAATTTAATTAGGGAAAATTTTGATGATAAAAGTGCGAGACATTTAATGGTCATAGGAAAAAGTGAATCAATAGTAAATATATTAAACTTTGAATTGCGACAAAAACAGTTGGATCCTGTTATAATATTAGGTTCACAATTTCCTGAAGATCAAGATGATTACTCGTATAATATTTTAAATAGGATTATGGTAGGTTCAGAAAATTATTGTTATTTTTTTTTATTGTTATTTAAATTAATCTTATTTGATATTTGATATTTTTATAAATAATTTTATTCTTGATAAAACCAATAAAATCAAATAAAGTATAACACAACAAACCTTTGTACTAATAGAGCTCTACTACTTTTACTATTATCTAATCTCCAATTGGAAATACCAATTACAGAAACTTTTGGTCCATCTGCTGGATAGCTTGGCTCAAGTTCAGAATGAAGTACTTTTAATGGGTTGAAGGGACTGGTTTCAGCCAACCCAACTAAATATTTAAAGAATGTTAGTATAATTTTAATAAATCAAAATCAAACCTAATTTTGTAAAAAAATTAATAAAGCACCTTCATCCAATAATACAACACTGATTACAGGAAATTCTTTTCTACTTGTATCTTGATATTTATTAGCCTTTTCAAAAACCTTCAAGATACCTTCTGAAGTGGATGATGTAGATCCTTGATGTGGAATGAGATATACCTATAAAAAAAAAAGTTTTTAATAATAAAATAACTTTATGATGAAAATTTTTAGGTAGTAAATTATATTAATACCTGGGGCAATTTTTTGAAATAAGGATCATTTGAATCTGCACCACGTAAATTTTGACTCACAAGCCTTACAGCCAAGGATTTTGAAGATCTATTAAACAGATGGTCGGTTAATAATATTCACCAATATAAATCTAATTATATTTTTTTTTTTCAAAAAATAAAGATAACTAACCCAGGTGAACCAATAATGAATACTGGGATTTTGGTTAACATGCACACTATCATAACCAAGACATTTTCTAACAATGCTTCATTAAAAGCAGTATTTGGTGGACAAATCATCCTTTTTATATTATCTTCTTGTTCTTCTCTTAAAATCAAATCAAATGATTTTAAATCAAATGAGGTGACATATTTACTAAATATTTTTACAACTTCTTGCTTGTATTTATAACGTAATTCTTTTTCATATAATCTGGAATGATAACATAATCCAAGAGCTAAGATGTATGAACGCATAAGCAAACTTGGTTTCCCTTTACCAACTTGTGGATATTTAACTGGCTTCTCTTTTTCACCAGGGTATCGTTTTCTAATTGGTCTATCTTTGAGATGTTCATAAAAGAATTTTATAAGTTTTATGGCCCTTTTTACATCACGTAAACTAACACTATATGGCTCTTCAACTTTTCTGATGAATTGTTGTGATGCAAATAAAAGTTCAGTCAATACTTGATGATTTAACAATTCTTTGGGGAGTTGGTCTTGTAACATTATATGAATATATTTCTTTTCATCTTCTGGTTGAAGCACACCATAATCCCATACATAATCCAAAATTTGATCAGGCAATGGTTTCACTTGATAAACAAGTCTATTTTTTTCATCATATATTCCCACTTTTGTTTGTAAACCAGCATCACTAACACTTTTAGTACGGAAACGATATGGATTACATGCTGAAAAAAGTCGAATATTTGGATGAATTTGTTTTCCTTCAAGCATTCTATGAGCAATAAGGTCAGATAATAGTCCAATATGATTGCAGGTGTTGATTTCATCAAAGAATAACCATGTTTCCTTTTTTTCTGCTTCCTTTTGAGCATCTTTGACAAATTCAATGATTTTTTCTTCTTGAACACCAGCATGTAGATTTAATGCCTTAAAATCAACTTCAACAACATTTGCCAAAAATGCTATCAAGCTTGTCTATTTAAAATTACAAAAAAAATTTTAATATTTTTGTACAATAGTGACAAATGTTTTACAATATTAATTATTTTAAAACAGTTACAAAGAAAGGGCACAAATTTACCTTTCCACAACCAGCTTCACCACAAACAATTACTGGAATATTTGCACGAGCTCTTAATAGTATAAGTGCCATCTTAATTAAATTGTCAGCAGAGAGTGCATAATCAGGATATTTAATAGGATGTAAGGTTCTTCTTGCAAGACCTTCTAATCTGTCTAGAAGAATTTTTGATTCCAATTGATTATAATCATCAAGCTCATCCTTTTTTTGTCCAACTGATTGACTCTTCAACAACATCTTTACATTATTTGGAACCTTTGCTTTATCACGATATAGAGCACAAATTGAGTCAGGTGATTGTGACATGAAAAATACAAGTAGATGATTTGAATCATCCCATTTAACTATTGTACCCAATTTTGCAGCTTCAGAATTACTTGTTGATTCTAATTGAGCAGCTTTAGTTTTGATTGATTTGGTTGCAAAATCCTTTGATATTTCAAGTAGTGTATCAAATAAAGTTGATCTAATATTTTTTTCTTTTACCATTAATTTAAGATTTTCAACTTGAAAGTATTGACTTGAAGAAAATCTTACTAGTTGGTCAGCAAACACATTCACAAAAATTTCTATAAATCTAAATGATGAAACATCATCAGCATTTTGATTAAAGAAATATTTTGTAATAAGTCCATGACACATGTTTGCAGGCAAAGGAACTGTAATTTTTTTGTCAGTCTTGAATAGAATATCTATCTCTTCAATAGCCTTACGATCAAATGCATTTAAATAATGACATACTATTTGAATTGGACTGTTGATCTCTTGAGATATTACAAGGTTATTGATGTCCCATGACAAATGTTTCCTTCTCAAATAACTAGTAATTGGCATAGAGTTTAATAATTTTTGTTCAGTTGTTGAAGCTACCTCAATATAAATTTCAGTTGCAGGTAAAATAGCTATATCTACACTATTAGAAACTATTCCTAAAATTAATAATTCAAAAAGAAACATGTTTACTTCACTAGGGTTTTCAGCTGAAACAATGTTCAAGTGTAAACTTTCTACTTTTCGTAATTTACATTCTTTAAGCTGACTAACAAGCTTACTAAAATTTAAACCATCACTGATTAAAAGACTACAAGTAACTTTTCCTTTTTCAAAACTGTCTTGTTTAATCCATTCTGTTTTTCCTTGCCCAGAAAGATCTGAAGATAAAGAAGTCACATTTGGACACAAATCATGGAATATTGTTTTCATTGATTCAGTATTCAGCCCATTAGTTACACATACATCTTGTGAAAATTGATCTAAAATGTGATGATGTATTCCAGGCTCACGACAACAAATCAATGCCAACAAATAATTTTTTTCACGTTTACACATCAATCTGATAAATTTAACCAAGTTATATTGTAATTCAAAATCTAATAATTCCAAATTTGCTATGCAAAACAAATGATCTTTATGCCCATTATTTGCTGCAAAAAAACAACGCTTAATAAAAATTGTTAATTCTTCTGAGGTTGTTAAAGGTGTGCATATTAAAAGTTGCCATGGTTCAGGGTGTGATCTGTTATTAGCATATAATGACATAATGATATTTGGAACACGTAATTTCTCATCACAAGCTGCCACAAATAATTTGCCATTAAGTACAACATCTGACATTACACGATCATCTATATTTTTGACCTGACGAATTTTTTTAGGAAGTTTTTCAAAAATAAGTTGTAATTTTTTACCAATTTCACAGAGGATATCATAGTAATTATTCTTTTTAGAAGAAATCCCCATGATCTTTTTATCAGAAGGTAATTCAGCTCTTCTATTTACAAATCGAATAAGTATTTGACATTCTTCAATCACATTAGGATTGTTGACATTTGAAAAATAATCATAGAATGTAAGGATGTGTCGGCCAGGGAAAAATGTTAAATAGTAATGATTTTCTTGTGCTTTGTTCATGATATCCTCCCTATTATATTATTTATAAATGATAATTATTAAGCAAGTTTAATTATAACTATATATAACCATTGATTTACATACCATTCACTTAATTTTTCTTTACATTGTTTTAATAATTCTTTCATTTTATCTGTTCCCTTTACAGTCACATCAAATTTCCTGAATTCAAAATGTCCAATTTGTACAAGTTTTGATGAAAAATTTATTATATCCTGAGCCACATCAACTTGTTCAACAAACACATCCATGGAATTTTTAATATTTTGATCATCTTCCAATGCATTCTCAACTGATAGATTAAGGTTTACCACAGTTGGTTTTGCAATCAATAATGCACGGCCACGTAAATCTTGAAGATCATTAAAGGTGTAAGATGATTTTTGAACTTTGTCAGATGTGTATGTCATTAATGCATTACATTTATCTCCTTTAGCATCTCTTTTAAAAGTATAAGATCCTTTCATCACAGCATTTTTGATTTTCTCCTTGGTTACTTCACTTTTTTGATCAATATTTTTATACATATTTTCTAAGGCCATACAATTATTATTACACAAAACAATATTATTAGTTAGCTTTGGATTTTTTTTAATAACCTTTCCAATTTCTTCAACAAACTCTTTCACTGATCTCTTTTTGGCAACATCCAACAGTGGTATTAAAAATTGTTTTACTTCAATTAATGATGAAACAGTGTCTTCCTGGATAAGTCGTTCATCTGAGTGGTCATCTACACTATTGATTAAATTTTTAATATCATGTCCTTCAATTGATTTGAGAAATGTTACAAATGTGCCTGCTTCTGATAATTCTTTGATTAAATTCCAACATTCATTACTAATTTTAAATTCTGTATTGAATTTATTAAAGAAATTTATTAAAACACCTAATGACAATTTCCCTTCATTCAAACTATTATAAATAATTCCAATTTGGTTTTCTTTATCATGTGAATCTTGAAAAATTTTAATGACTTGATCCAAATTTTTCAACCCTTCTTTATAATTAGATATTTGAGTAAGATACCAAATTGTTTCTTGGAATTTTCTCTCTTTAGGTAATCGCTGAAAATTTTCCATCAGCTCAAGTTCTGATTTTATATCTTTAACATCTTTCCAAAAATCACCAGCATCTGAGCATGATAATTTTTCCCAATTTTTATATTCTTTACATGATTTTTCATATTCCTCAAATGTTTTAGGAATTAGCTTAGTAGCTAAAATTTCAACTGTTAAAGGTGTGGTTTCATCTTGTTTTAAGATCAACTCAAAAATGTTTTTAAAGGTTTGGGAGTTTCTATATCTATAAACAGATTCTGCAACTTTTGAGATTTTATCATGGTATGCCCAATGATCAGGTTGTAAAATATCATTAAATTTAATTTTTGTTAAAGATTTCATTTTCTCTTCCAAATTATTAATATAATCATGTACATCAGTTACTTTTTCACTTTGACAAAATCCAATATAGAATGTGCTAAGACAATCCAACCTATGTTCATAATTTTTGCTTTCTTTTTTAACATTATCTAGTATGGTTTTTGTCATAATAACTGATGAACCAAATTTTTTATCAGTGGTTGCGGAATTGAAAATTCGAATAAAATTTTCATCATTGTTGACAATTAATTTTTTCAATAATGTGAAATTAATATTTCCATCTGAAATTAATTCTGCTAAATCATTAATTGATTGTTTATAATGTAAAACTAGTTCATGTGAATGTAAATGTTCAATTGACCCAGTTGCATTAAATATCATTACCCAAAATTCTTTAGATTGAAATAAATTGACATAATATTCAGAGTCATTATTTAAAGTATTTTGACCTTGTAATTTTTTCATTATAAAGATCATTATAAGTTCACATAATTGATTTGGGATGTTGAGTTTTTTATCACCTTTTTTACATCCACAAATTTCTCGAATCTTTTGAATTAATTGTTGGTTGGGACTTATTGATGATTTTTCTAAAGTTTCTTTCACCACATGAAAGTATCTTGTATAAATTTGTTCTGGAAATTTAGCAATTGAACATGTTGCTTTATAAATAGCATTTTCTGATGATTGACTTACTCTTTTGACTGCACAATCTACCAAAGAATTAAAAATATTGATCCTAACACCAATTGTAGGATAAATATCATATAAGATACTAAATACAATTGTGATAAATTTATCTTCATTAGAATACATTGCTTTGTTTTGATGAGTAATATCTATAATTTGTTCAAACCATTGATTACAAATTTGCAAAATTTTTGATTGTTTGATGTTGTTAAAAGTTTTAAAACAGTGTTCCAATGGTTCAGGAAAAGCTTGTAATAAAGACAAATCTGTTGATTTAGAAATATTATCAAGTGCATCAAGAAATTCTTCTTTGTCCCATTTAAATCGTTGCAAAAAAAACATTATAGATTTAATCTGCTCACTTCCCCATTGTTTTCTTGAATTTTTCAACATGCTTAAACATTTTTGAGAAAATATTCCAAAATGTTTATTTTGCATTTCTTCAGGAAGAGCTATGATTTGTTGATACAATTGATATGGGTTATCTTGAGAAAGATTATTTTTGATATTGTCAAAGAATATTTGTCGAAGTCTGTCTGTTCTGTAAATAATTATATCATCCCACATTGTTAATAAAGCTGGCATACTATTACATAATTGTAAGAAGCGCTATATATAATTATTTATAAATAAATAAAAAACCAGAATTAACACAAGATTTTATTTAAGATATATGTATGTATGTATATATGTATATGTATGTGTATGTGTATATATATATATACACATATTAAAAAAAATTTTAATAATAATTACCTCTGCTATTTTCACATAAATATCTACATCCTCAATATTATCAATATATGGTTTGACATGTTCCTCAACATTTTTAATAAACAACTCCATACCTCTTGATTTATATTTTCCATCAAGAAGAACTTCAAGAAAGCCATGTTTTGGATCAATAACATCAGCAACAGAAAATATTTTCAACCATTCAAATGAACCATTGATAAAATTATGTCTGATTAAAAGATTAACTGCTTGTTTTATAATATCATTAGTGTTTGATGGAAAAGTATTTTCATATACAGTTGTCAAAGAATTAATTAATGTGCCTGAGTCAAAGTCATTAGGCAACTCATAAAAATTGAACTTTGAAGTGTTTTTTCGCTCATTAATAAAATAACCAAGCAATACACACAAGAAAAGTTTCTTTTCTCTTTCTTTACTAATTGGCATACACTCCTTAATAAATTCAATTGTAGTAAAAGTAACAGTCAATTCACGAAATTTTTTTAGTAGTTTTTGATATTCCATTACTTGATTTTTAAAATTTTCTGGTGTTATGGATTTATGTATAACTTTAATGAAACTAAAATCTCTAAATCTCTCATAAAATTTATATGAATTGCTATTATGCCAGACATCAAATTGGTTTTCAGTAAAATTTTCTAGAATTCGATTATCTCTTTCATCAAACCCCTCAAACTCAATTGCACTTCCTCTTGATAAAAATGATGACTTGCCAACTATTGCATATTTGTATCTGATTTGAACATTTTTTTCAACGTAACTAATGGGAAATTTAACTTCTTTTGATACCCAATATGTTGCAGATTCTTTATGAAGCTTGATGGTTGGATCTTCCCAAGAGCCAAGTTCAGGCACATTACCAAGAATAACAGGTGTTCCATGATAAGGAATAGTTGGTGGTAGATGTACATGAAACTTTGTTACAAAGAATTTTGGAGCTACGCTTTCTTTTTTTGAAAGAAAGCCAGGAATACTAGGCATACTAGGCATACTAATCCAACTTGTGCTATTCCGATCAGGATTATCTGACAACTTGCCAGAAGCTGATTTTCCAGATGTATTATGGTTGGTTGTACTGTCACCATTGCTACCGTCATCTTTTACATCATCATTATTATTATTATTTATGCCATTATTAAATGATGAAGAACCTTCAGAATTGTTGTCTTCTTCGTCATTAGAGTTCTCAGCACTATTATTATCGGCTAATCCATCAATATCCGAGAAACTGAATTGGTTGTTGTCACCAGCAAATGTTGATGATGACGGCAATTGTGTTGAATGACGATTTGATGATTTGTTTTTTGAAGAATTTTTGTTTTGAGGTTTTGAAAATGAATCTCTATTTGTTTCGACCTTTTTCTTTGTAGGATCATCAGTTGAAGAATCATCTGGAAACAAGCGTTTCAATTCATTAGAGGTTCTTGTCGTGTGACCAAGAGGATGTTTATCCGTTTCATTATTTCTCTTTGTGGAATCGTCAGCTGAAGGAAAATCTGAAAACAAGTCACTAGATGGTTTTGTTGTGTGACCAAGAGAGCTGTATGGAGACTCTGAAGATGGATATTTATTCGTTTCATCAGTTGAAGAATCATCTGGAAACAAGTGTTTAAATTCATTAGAGGTTCTTGTCGTGTGGCCAAGAGGATATCTATTCGTTTCATTATTTCTCTTTGTGAAATCGTCAGCTGAAGGAGAGCCTGGGAACAAGTGTTTATAATCATTTATTGGCGGATCAGAAAATTGAAAATTGTATTCGGTTTTCTTATTTGATGATGATGGTGATAAATTATCAGTTGCAGCAGCAGCAGTATTATAAATGTCATTATTCTCTAAGGAATAATTTGTTGAGCAGTAAGTGAAGGAGGAGGATCTGCAGATGGATCATTATCATCTTTGTTTGAGGAAGAACCTCTAGTTGTTTTTGGGAGTAAGGAATCAATAATTTGTTGAGCAGTAATTGAAGGAGGAGCATCTGCAAATGGATCATAAACATCTTGGTTTGAGGAAGAACCTATATTTGTTTTTGGAGGAACAGGAGGAGGGGTATTATTTTCGTTGGCAAAAGTTGCTCCCTCTATTTCTTTTCCTTTTTTTATTTGTTTGTTTGGTGACGATGATGACACTTTATTATGTTCGGTAAGAAGACGTTTATTTGAAATTGGATTTCCAGTTTGATCATCAAATAATTTAGAAGTATCGTTGTACTTGGTATCGCGATTATTATCATTTTTTGTATTGAGCATATTATGTCTGTTGTTGTACTTTAA